GTTGGGGACCTGGGTGTCTGTGGTGTCACAGGGGTTTGGCCAGAGGGGTTCACCCTGAATCTTGAAGTTGAGTTTGAATTTTGTTTTGGGTCTGAAGGCAGCAGAAGAGCAGAAATGAAGGTTCAGGGCTCCCCCAGCTGGGTCCCAAACAAACCTGTCAGGGTTTAACAGAGCTCAGCATAACCCAGAGTTATCCTCAAGCACTGCGAGTCCAGGCTTCTCCAGGAGAGATTTTCTCCCGATGTTTGCAGCCTCCCTGCTTCTCTCAAAACCAGCACTGACCCCTCTCCTCCTTCCCACAGAGCGATACTGGGGATCCCCTGGTCTGCAACAACAAAGTCTTGGGCATCTTCTCSTACCAGCACAGCAACTGGCCCGACTTCTACACACACATCTCTCATTTCCTGCCCTGGATCAGCAGAGTCATGAAATCAGCCTGACCCTGCTCACCCTCCAGAGCCCCCAACTCACCAGATTTCTGTTCCTTCCTCCCTGGGAAATGTTTCCCACTGATCCTGGTGGATGGGGTGAGGATTTCTGGGTGGCCAAGTGAGCTTGGCTCGGTGGTGGGGCTGGCACAGGGGCTGTGCCCTGACCTTATTTATTCCCTGTGCCCTGACTGTATTTACTCCCTGGCCCTGACAGAGCCCTTGGTGGCCACAGCTCTGGCCAGGGAGCAGCAGGACAGCCCTGACAGAGAATTTGGCAGCTCTGGGGTGTGTGTGCCCCTCTCTCTCTGCACAAGAAAATCAGAGGGACCCTGATCATTTGTGACACTCGGTATCTGTGGGTCCTGCACCCAAACCCTGCAGCTCCAAGGAGAACACTTTGAGTTCTGTTTCACTGCTGCTGTTCCCCACCTCTGAAACCTCTCTGCCTCCTTTTTCCCCTCTTCTGTAGCCCCGGTGTTGTGAGAACACGTCAAAACAATAAATTTCCTAAAAAAAAAAGCCTTTTTCCTGCCGTGATTTGGATTTCTCTYGGCCGCTGGCTCCAGTCCTGAACAGTTCAGGAGAAAGTCACTGCTCAGACAGCTGAACCCAAAGCTGGAAGTTTCTACCCCAACCAACAGCCTCCATTTTCTGTCCCATTTAAACCTCCAGAATAGGTGTCCAGCCTGGATTTCAGGGCAARGGCTCCCCTCACATGCAGCTGGACACGCCAGGGGAGTGGAATGTGACCTCCAAGCTGATAATTTGGAGGATTTCCTCCCTCTCTCACATCTTCTAACCCGTGGGCCCCCCGAAATTCTACCCCATCCCACCTCTGGCTATCATTGCACACAAAACCAATGACACTGAAATCACCTTTTTAATCAAATTAGCAGCAAAGAGAAAAACCACACAGTCCCACCACAGCCTGACACCCAGTGAATATTTTCTTTCTACATGTCGTGGTTGAAGGCAGAAAAATAAACCCCTGCCTCTTCTCCAACAGAGCTTAAAAACATTGCAACCTGAGGAAATGAATCTGGGGCTTTGGCAGGAGACACAGCTTCCGTCAGATGTTTAGGATTTCGTGGACAAAAACACATTTCTGGGGAGTGTTTGCCTTTCTTTGAGCTCACCTCTGCCCAAAGGTGACTCGTCAGGGGCCATTCCAACATCTGTGGCAGCCCTGGATATAAAACACTGGGCCAAGGATGTGAAGACTCTAAATATTTTCCAAACCTTATAATTCAAAATGTCTAAAGGTCCCCAGGTCATTCACCTGGCTCAGAAAAGCTGCAGCTGAGCGGAGCTGTCGTGGTTTTTGCTGTGGGTGATGTTGCACAAGGAAAGCGCCTTGTGCACATTTCTGCTGAGTTTTTCATGCCCAGAGTGCCCTCTTTGGGTTGGCAGMAGGGTGTGTTCTGCAGGGTTCTGTCTCTAAAGAGAGCCTGAATTTATAAAAAAAAACCAAAAAAAAACAAACCTCATCTCTTGCAGTTTGGGAGCAAATCCATGGCTGGGCTCAGGAAAGGCACCTCTCTCCCCCAGGATTCTTTATATCTTTTAATCTGCTCTGAATCAAGGCTTGCAAAGCCAAATTTGAGCATAAGGTTCTTTGAGTAGAGGGTTCTTTTCTAACAATGCTGCCAAATCCTTGCCAGAAGAATTCCAGGGGTGTTCTCATCCTGCATCTCCTGTGCAAAGAGCCTGTCACCTTTTAGGGAGCTGAAGGCCTGAGTCACTGGGAGGGAGGATGAGAACCAGCAGAGCAGGACAGACCTGTCTTTGGGGAGCTCCATAAAAACCTCATTGATTTCCATGGCCAGGAGCTACAGATCCTCACCTGAGCTGGAGAGAGGAACAGCTCCAGGAGCAGCCAGGGATGAGTGACAGAGGATGGCCAGGGGTGAAACACAGCCAGGGATGAGTGACAGCAGTGATCAGGGGTGCAAAACACCCCAGGGATGAGTGACAGAGGATGGTCAGTGGTGTAAAACAGCCCAGGGATGAGTGACAGAGACTGGCCAGGGGAGTAAAACAGTCCAGGGACAGGGGACAGAGGATGGCCAAGGGTGTAGAACAGCCCAGGGACGAGTGACAGCAGTGATCAGGGGTGTAGAACAGCCAGGGATGAGTGACAGAGGATGGTCAGGGGTGTAGAACAGCCCAGGGACAGGGGACAGAGGATGGTCAGGGGTGTAGAAGAGCCCAGAGCAGCAGCTGAGCTCCCTGAGGAGCCCCATCCTCACATCTGTGGTTACCCAGAAGCTTCACCCAGCCCAAGTGAGGAGTCCTTGTCCCACAGTCCAGCACGGGAACCACAAAAACTCGTCAAAAGCTGTGAGTTGTCTCTCCACCCACGGTGGTGGTGATGTTACAAAAATGAACTTCCTGCTCAGGCTGCATGGCAGCAGATAAAGCAGCTCRAGAGGACAATTACACCAAACTGGTATCACTGGGAGAACACACAGGAAACAGCCTGGGGTGGAACCAGCCCAGGGCTCAAGAAGATCTGGACATGGCACCAACAGCAGCTGCTGTTCCCCAGGCCAAGTTGGGCTCCTGAGCTGCACATCATCCTCAGAGCCCTGTGTGGGGCCAGAATAACATGGGGGGAAAGCTGAAGGGAGACAGAGGAGGTTTTATAATCCTGCTTTAAAAATTCCATGTAATATTTGGCTCTTCTTGYGCTGGACAGGTACTTTCCTCTCTTTCCCAAGAGGGCAAAGGGAATGCTCAAAGAGTTTCSTCCTGTTACGAGGATGATGGTTGTCCAAGGGCAAGGCAAACCCCAAACTCCCTCTTCTTTTTGTCCTTTTATTCYACATGGGATTTTATTAATATGAAAAATATGAAAATTGATTTATGTCTGCTCTACCACGTACACAATCTCAGGGACCTGCTTTGGTGTCAGCATGGACATCCAATGGCCAGGTTTAAAGTGATTTAAACAGTCCCTGGGCCAGCTCACCTTATCAGGACACTCCCCTGGCCCACAGCCCAGCCCTGACAGCCCTTTTTGGCCAAGTCCCTCCCTCTTGCAGGCCAAAGGACTCACCCAGGTGATTTCATGGCACAGCCTCCCGTGTTCCCAAAGCCTCTCCTTGCAGGATGCAGGATCAGAGGAGCCCCAGCTGCAGAGGTGGAGGTGAGGAGGAGCTCCCTGTGCTGTTTATAAATAAATAAATAAATAAATAAATAAATAAACACTTTATTTATCCAAGCTGGGCTGCAGCAGTCCTTGGGAAAGCAGCAAGTGTGGGTTTGCTGCCTGGGTGCCACCAGCTGTCACCTTCCCTGGGTTGCTCCAGCTCCAGCAGGACCCAACTCCTGCTCCTCCAGGGACAGCCCCACACCCACAGTGCAGGTGCAAAAGGCCAAACCACGAGGCTCTCACATGAATACTGGGCATTAAAGACTTCATTTTTTTCCTTGAAAAGCCTCAACCTGTTGTTTTGCTTTCTTTAAACAGAGAACATTTGGCTCTTTGCAGAGAGCGGCGAGCATCGAAATCGCTCCCCAGCTGGGGAGGGGATGGAGACGCTGAGAAAAGCGACAAAAAYTCACCCCTGACCAGAAAATAGTGACAATCTAAGAGACCAAACACAGTTCCTGTCCTGCTGGAAGCMAAAAAAATGCCTCAGGCTGTCCAGGAGCTGCGGCTTCACCTGTGCACAGTGACCTTGAAGGGAGCAGAACATCCTCGGCCGTGGCTTCCTGAAAACACAGGAAACCTTTACAGAGAGGAAGTTGGCCATCTCTACCCACTCCCAGCTGATTTACTGCAGCATTCCTGCAGAATGAGCCCAGAGAAAAAGAATAAAGCTCCATGAACTCAGTCTCAGGAAATCACTTTGTGGAATTATTCACAATGATCCATCCCTGCACTCCTTAAGGGATAATTTTAAGCTGTGTTTCGTGGTTCAGTCCACGTTTCTAACAGACAAGACTGGAGGCAGTTCTGGTCTCACCAACATTCCCGCTGCTGGCAGCAGAAATCCTGCTTGGAATTGTGCCTGCAACGGGCTGACACCACAGCAAGAGGCAGCAGYAAACACCAACAGCTTCATTCACTGTTTTTTAGAGCAATCCTGCTCTAAAATCCTGGAAAACTCAAATTCGAAATCCACCACTGCACCCCTGCACCTTAAACCCCCAGTCAGACACTGTTCACCCTTCAGAATTATTGGTACAGTGTATTATATATAATTATGGCATGTTACACCTTTTATTTACCAAAAAATGCTTTTTTTTCTATGCCTCAGAATCCTAATTTTCTGACAGGAGGCAGAGGGTGCTGCCCACAGGGTACAGAACTTCCTGAGCCAAGAAAAGAGGAGAGGGGAGGACAGGAGTGAAGGAACACACACACAACCACCACGGCTTTTAGGAACAAAATTTATTCCAATTTCAAACAGAGAGTTTATTTCAGGAGAAAGATATGAAAATCAATTTCCATCAGATATTTCTGTAATAAGCGTGTTGCCCAGCAGTCAGAGTGGGATCATTCCGAGAAACAATCGCACTCCTGGACTGGAATGAGACAGTTTGGAGTCTGAATAGATCCTGACACTGGGCATCTTATTCAGAAACTCCTTTACCCTACCCTCTTCCCTCCCCGCCCCCCAACACGCACAACAATACATGCATTGCAAATGACAAGGTTTAAAAACAGCATTTTATATAGTATTCTTTTTAAATAGGATAATGTTTAAATTGTCTTAAATCAGGATCCTATAATATACAAGTATAACCAAATAATTTCCACCACATTGGCACTTGTAAAGAGTCTCTGGCACTACTAAAGAAGGGGCATTGGCACAAACCATACTCTTAAAAAACTGGGTGCTGCATAACACACTTTATCTCTGCTGGACTCTAACGACCTGGGCTCTGTACAGGACAATACAATGGTCAGCACACTCCGGAAGTACTTTTTTTTTTTATTATTTTTTTTTCCTTTTTTGTTATTTTTTTTTCTTTTTTAAAATTTTTTTTTAAACCAATAAAACACATGAAGAAAAACCATAGTTGAATGCAAGGCCAACATTGCTAGGAAGCAA